TCCACACATAAAAGCCATAGTGATCCCTCACAATTTGTTGGGGATGCTATGTCGGGAGGATGCGATATTTCTGGAATGGGATGTTCTCCTGAAAAACTCTGCTATGAAGTCCACCAACACCTGACCCTTCATAGCGGTTCGAGGTTTAAAATGAATGTCGTGTTCCCCCAACTCCACTGCCCACTTGAAAATCCTACCGGAGAGGTCTGCCTTCCTCAGAATGGCTTTTAAGGGCTGATCAATTAGGACGGTAATTGGGTGTGCCTGGAAGTAATGCCTTAGTTTCCTTGTAGTTGTGACCAGGGATAGAGCTAGTTTCTCTAGGGGTAGGTATCTTGTCTCTGCGTTCAGGAGCGCCTTGCTTATGTAATAAATCAGTTTTTGGCGGTGCTCATGCTCATGGATAAGCACCCCCCTGACTGCAAATTCTGATACAGATAAGTACAAGAATAGCATTTCCCCCTGGATATGGTTGAGAGAGTCCTGAGGTACTCCTCGATTCCAGTCAAGGCGTCTTCGCACCCCTGGCTCCACATATCCTTCCCAGCCCTCTTGATGGCTCCAAAAAAGGGTTTGCATTTGTCTGAAGAGCGTGAGACGAAACGGTTAACTGCTGCCAGCATCCTTGTGAGCTTTTGAACTTCTCGGACAGTTTGGGGGCTCCGGATGTCTAGGATCTCTTGAATCTGGTCCAGGTTAGCTTCAATTCCTCGCTGACTCACCAGATATCCGAGAAATTTTCCCGACTCTACTCTGAAGACACACTTTGCAGCGTTCAGCTTCAGCCCGTACTCCCTGAGGGTGGAGAAAGTATCTGCCAAATCTGTCAGGTGGTCACAGCTTCGTTTGCTTTTCACTAGCATATCATCAATGTAGACCTCCATGATGTTGCCGATCTGCTTTTTGAATATCCGATTCATCAGTCTTTGGTATGTTGCCCCGACGTTCTTTAGCCCAAACGGCATCACTTTGTGACAGTAAACTCCCTTTGGAGTGATAAACGCCATTTTTTCCTGATCCGGGGGATAGAGAGGGATCTGATGATATCCTGCTCGGGCATCCAAGAAGTCCATGTGTTCGTATCCGGCAGTGGCATCCACTAGCTGGTCCACCTTTGGTAGGGGGTAGTCGTCCTTGGGACATGCCTTGTTTAAATCAGTGAAGTCCACGCAGATACACCATTTTTCCCCCTTCTTCTTCGCACAGACTGTGTTAGACAGCCATTCCGGGAACTGTACTTCCCGGATGGCATCGCCCTCCAGGAGTTTGTCGATCTCTTCGTTGATCGCACGGGAGTGGTGCGGGGCCATGCGTCGTGGCTTCTGTTTCACTGGCTTGTGCACTGGGTCAACATGCAGCTTGTGTGTAATTATTTCGGGATCCACTCCCGTCATTTCCATTGTGTTCCAAGCGAACACGTCTGCATTTCCTCTCAGGAACTCAATCATCTCCTCCTGTTCGGCTGTGGGCATCACAGTTCCAACTAAGAAGTATCTTTCCTCCTTATCCTCCACCAAGGGCACCTTTCGGAGGTCCTCCACCGACCGCTCTGTTGGGTCAATCCGGGGGTCATCCATTCCTAGACGCCCGGTCTATGATTGCTATTTTTTCAGGATCTCTTCCAGAGCTCGCCCCTTTTCTTGGGTGAAAGCCCCTATTCTAACAGCCGAATAAAAACAATTTTTTGCTGAGGCTTGGTCCCCTCGGATTTCCATGATCCCCTCTAGTGTGGCAAATTTCAGTTTCTGGTGATAAGTGGAGTGTACCGCTCCCAACGCATGCAGCCATGCTCGTCCCATGATCACATTGTAGGGAGAGTCCGTATCAATCACGACAAACTCGGTGTTGATGGTGAAGGGACCTGTGACAACTGGCAATGTGATTTTGCCTATGGGCAGGGCGAACAAGCCGTTGAATCCGATAAGGGGTGTCCTGACCTTGGTGAGGTCCTTGTGGCCAAGACCCATCCGTTTTAAAGTGTCAGAGTACATTACTTCTGAGGAACTCCCAGAGTCTATCAACACTCTCTTGACGTCGAACTTGCCTATCTTCAGGGTTATGACAAGGGCGTCGTTATGAGGAGTCACCACACCCGTTAAGTCCGCGTTGGAGAAAGTGATGCTCGGCTCACCAATTCTGGCTCTTTTACTAGGCGGCCCCCCATCATTCTCGGCTATCTTTCTCGTAAAAGCTACCCTCTTGAGATCGAACTCGAGTTCCTTGGACGTAGGGCGATCTAGCGGACACACATGGATCACATCTATGACATTATCCAGCTCTTCGGTCGGGACAGGTGTGCGTCCCTCTTCTGGCCCAAGCTCTATGTACTCTTTCAAGTATCCATCTCGGACCAATTTCTCTAAGAAAGATTTGTATACCCTACAGCTTTCGGTGCGGTGGCCGAAATTCCGGTGATAGGAACACTTGACCCTTTGATCACGGGTGGAGGGATCGCTCTGCATCCTGGGCCACCACTTGAAGAATGGCTCATGCTTGATCTTGTAGAGCAACTTGTAGATGGGTTCCTTGAACATAGTGTGAACTCCTTTGAATGACCCCCCCGGAGGGGGTAGCAGTCCCTTTCGAGAAGGATCCTCTCGCTCCCTCTCTTTTCTCTTAGGTTGGAGGGTTCTGCCTTTGCTGCTTCCCATCTCGTCCTCGATCCTAGAGTAGTTTTTTATCCGGGCCATCAACTCGCCCATGTCTGAGGGAGTCTTTTTGGTCAAGGATCGGTACAGGTCCGTGTCCCTTGCCAAGCCGAGCCTGAAAGACGCCACTGCCATGACTTCTGAATAGCGTTCTACCTCATTAACTTCCTCCCAGTACCGGATGACGTACTGACAGAGGGTCTCAGATTCCCCCCGTCTGAGCGTCAGTAATGATCCGACATCTTTAGGCCGCTTACTCCCCGTAATGAATCGGGCTAGGAACTGCCTCGTCAGCTCCTTCCATGATCCAATGCTGTTGGGGGAAAAAGCCTCGAACCACTTCATCGTGGAGTCCCCCAAGCTCATGGGAAACACTCAGCAGAGGAACCGTTGGTCTGAATGATACAGGGACATCATTTGTTTGTACTGCCTGAGGTGGGCTTCGGGATCAGACCGTCCATCAAAAATTTTGAACCTCGACACGATGAATTGTTTTGGAATATCCATCTCTGTGATACCCCTGGTAAAGGGTGATTGCATGACCTCGTCTTCGACATCATCCTGGACAGCCTTGTCCTTTCTCCTGGATTCCAATCGAGCCCTGAGATCAATTTCCTCCCCAACGGGGTGTCTTCTGAAGTCTCCGAGTTCATCAATAGGTCCCCCATTTTCCTGGGCGTTGTGTGGATAGGGTTAAATCCTTCTCGGACTCATCTCCCTTCCTCCGTCTTGACAGTCCTCGTCGGAGGTCGTCCAGGGCTAAAGGTCTTGCCTTCATGGAATGGTCGTTAAGAGGGCGCTCGTTGGCTCTAGGTCGCTTTGGGGCCCTAGAGCTTTTTGCCTTGTTATTTAAATGGTTCCTTAGGTCCTTCATTTCCGCCTCTCGGGCGGGGAGTCCACGAGAAAGAAATGAGTCCCTCGACCCTTCGCCGAAAGCGGCGAATTCATTGTGGCGGCTTAGGATGTTTACATTGTCTTTTTTCAACTGTCATAATCGATCCCCAAACGTTTCTTCGATCACCTCCGCTAGTTGGCGAGCCAAGGGGGCGGTTCCTCCTGACCTGATGCCCATACTAGTCTGAGGAGTAGGCCCTCTTGACTGAATAGAGACATTTCTATTCCCATCAACGTGATCCCTTCATCCATCATGACATGGAGCTCGTAACTCAAGACTCCTTTGCTGGGGACCTTTCCCTTTTTGTCGAGTATTCACCATGGTCACTGTTCTTTATAAAGAATAAACTAGGAAAACTAGTCGTTTCCCACAGACGGCGCTAGATTGTGTGTGCGAGATCTTGCACAATATAAATACGAGAACAGATCTCTCCTGTGGTAAATTGGAGTCAGTCAATCGAATGGTCAGCCTTGCTGTTTGGAACATGCTAAGATCCGTTGGTTACTTGAAAAGGTAATGGGTGGCTTTCATGGATCAAAGGAACGGTCCAATAAGGTTGAGGGAGGTGCCTAGAAAAGAGAAAAACATATTAGAAGGGCGCTGAAATATTTTTCGGCGTATCCCCTCCGACGATCAAGTCCATTTTTGAGAGTGGGGAAGAAGAAAACACTTGAGTATAGGTTTTAGAAAATGTTTTTTTGTTGCATACCGTCTTGCCATTGCGAGGAGTATTTATACTTCAAAAACTCATGATTGCTGTTAGTGTGGTCAGTAGGTGATCATTAGGTACAGACAACGTGTGCACGGATTCCTATGAGGAATGTCTTCTCTCTTAACTGCTCGGGACCCTGAGCGATCAATGCAGCGTCATCAGTCTGCCGAATGTTTAATGAGCTCCTCTCGGCAAGAGTGCAATAAGTGTCCAGTATCAGGGACATTTATTACCTTTCTCTTCCGAGCCTTACTGCATTAAATGTTGTCTCATCAAGGGAATGACCTAATTAAATACTTGTTTTCCCAAGTTGTGTGTCAACAAGGACATCCTGTACTTTTGTCTCTGATGTGACACAATGCACCACGTGCCCTTTCCCCATTGGCTGCGTCTTCTACCTTTATGTGCCTTCTGACACCAATTGTGTAAGACGAGGTCATGATAGCTAACCTAGTCTAGCCTAGGCTAGTGATTCGTACATCAATAGCTTCTGCGGAAGCAGAGAGTGCCATATTGGATGGGTACATTTCAGAACCGAGGGGGGAGGTACATCTCGGAGCCGAGAGGGAGGTATATATAGCGACCCGATGTATCCATATCAAACCGAGGGATACGTGTCGGTACGTAAACGTACTGGATGCCACTTGATCCCTATGACAAGTACCTCGGGGGAGAGGAACTTGTGAACCGATGGGTACGTGTGATCTCAGTAACAAGGATTTAGTAACACCAAGGATACGTGTCTTCATCTTGGAGTATCTCGGAAATGTCCCATCAGATTCATCATGTCAATTATTGCAAATGGAGCTCCATCTGTGGCAACTGATGAAGCACCCTCATAGCTGTGTCCACCACTCCTCACTCTGATTTCAAATGCTGCTTTCCTACAGCATAAAAAACTCTTCAGCAGCTGCTCTTTATTCTCTGGCAAAATGATGGCCTTTGGTTTGGGAACTGATAATTCTGAAAACCGAAGATTTTGGATGGAGTAATTAAGAAGCTTGAAGTAAATTGTAGAGTCACCGACTTTATTTGGGTATATGGGGAAGTTATTGACACCATGATGAGTTAAACAAGAAATAATGAGGCCTGTGGGTGTGGGTTTACCACATACAGAAGGAGCAAGAAAGAGAATGTAGATGATCAATAGAAGGAATGGATTCACTAGGAACTTCACCATGGCTTTCTCTTTATTTTTTTTTTTTTTTTGGTTTCCAAATTCAATAGTCGTAGAAGAGGTGGAGTATAACTATAAATGAGAAAAATTGGAGAGTAATGAACTAGGTGAAGGATAAACGGATGGAATGACAAATGTAGAGGTATAAATACCGGCCCGCCGTTCTCTATACTGAACGTCCATTGAAACATGATAAAAGAATCTGCAATGAGGGATTTTAACTAGAACCCTACTTTTTTTTCAATGACAAGGATAGGCGGCGAGAGAAATGTTTCATAGGTCCATATACAGCCCACCATATAAAATGATGGTCCTAATTTGGGGACACTATGAGGATATAATTTAATATAACCAATAAATTAAAAGTGTTTTGCATTTTTTATAATGATACAAAACAAAAGAAACTAAAGACGCATTGCCAAATATGGACCCACATATGCCTGTCAACCAAAGAAAGAAGTTCTAACACTAGTTTATAGTATTTATGACAATTGTAATTTCTTAGAATTATAGTTCAATCGATTAGAACATTGTTCTGTCAAGACAAAAGTTACGGGTTCTAGCCCCGTCAATTCAGACGGATTTTATAAATACATTAATTCATCCCTCCATGTTTGTGAAAAAGAGGACAGCGAGCGTAATTTCATTCCAACATGGACCCTTTTTGATTTATTTTCTGTAAGGAAAAAAAAATTAGTTTGGGATAAGTGTACAGTACCCACATTTAAAATGTGGGTCCCAAGTTTAGATTGACAGCCTCATAAAGTCCATTTGTGCAGCCACTCTAACTTAGGGGACACCCATTTCTTCTATATCTAAAAAAATAATGTTATTGAGATCTAATTTATTAATTTAATTTGTTTACTTAATTTACTATAATTTTTCAATTGATCGTGGGTTTCATCAAATATTGGAACCTGATGTTGATCTAATGGTTCTATTAAAACCACATCATTATATTAACAAATTAGATTAAATTTTTAAATCCAAATAGGATTCCTCTATCTCAAATGCTTTGACATATACTAGATAACAAAGGAAAAAGATTGTTGGGCTGGTGAAACTACACAAACATCTTCCTTCCTTCCGGGGTTCTCACAAGAATTGTAAAAAGGAACGTACTTTTGTTTTTTTTGTCTTGGAAACGGGAAAATTTCATGGTCTGTCTTCAGCGAGTAGAGGCATGCTTATGTCACTCAGACTCGTAACTCTAAGTAGAACTAAGGGCAAAGTCCAAAGTATGAACCGGTCCCTCAACTCATACACCATTTAAATTAGGACTTGCGTTTTGTCAGGGACTCAAGACCCACACCATATACTTGGATACAGTTTATCTAAACAACTCAAGTCTTGTCTTACCAAACAACTATGCTATTGCACCCAGGATACTTCGAAACCCTGACCGCCCATTGGGAAGCCAAAGACTCTGGCCAATTGAGCTACCCCAGTTGGTTACATCTGCTTTTACAAGAGTTAGATGATGACTTTTTAAATCAAAGCAAGTCACATTGGTAACGCAACAACCGTCCTGTCATGATTAGTTAGATGCTTTCCAATTTTTAGGTTTTAAATAAGCAATAATATTAGAACTTAAAAATCAGACTTAATTTGTTGATATAATTATGTGGTTTAATAAGAATTATTAGATCAACATTAAATTTTAATGTTTGATGAGATTTATAGTGAATCTAAAGATCACAATGCATTAAGTCAACAAATTATGTCAGTAAATTAGGTCTCAATAGCATTGCTTGTTTTAAAATGAAGTAATGTTATTTACATCTAAAAATTTGACCTCATTTGTTAATTTGATGATGTGATTTTATTGGAACTATTAAATGAAGAACAAGTTCTAATGTTTAATAAGACACATAATTAATCGACAAATGAGATAAAATTTTTAGATTCAAACAACATTACTCTTTAAAAAGAGAACATGACAAAATTACAGAACAATTGAAGCCAGCTTTTCTCCAAACCTCATTTGTAATTTAAAGAGAACCCCACACACACCCCTTTCTTCTTTTTTTTCCCCCAAGGCAAGGAATATGCTTTTGTGGACCATGAACGATAGTAGGTCACTTAAAGCTCTCTTGGGATACAGCTGACCTTGCACTATGAATTTCGAGAATAAAAACAACTTTTAAAAAAAAAAGTATTGTATTCAATAATGTAAGGATTTAATTTGTTGAAATAATTCATAGACCTAGTACATTGTTGTTACTAAATTCACAACTGGCCTTATCTATTATTGGTACCTAACGATGTTCTAATACGATTGAGCAGTGATGTGAATATAAAGTGTATTAAACAGTTAGATATAGTTCAATCTGAGCTCCAAAACTCTAGGAAATACGATTTGGGGATAAGTGGGTTATTACACAGAGTTTTTATAGTGGTTCACTAGCTCGGGTGCTCTGCTAATCCACTTTCAAGGGAGTCTCTTGCTCCTAAATGTATTGATTACTGTGTGAAGTTTACAGAGAGTGTTTTTGTGAGGCTACAATGACTTATCTTTACTTTTGAGGGTTTTGCCTCCTATTTATAGTTATTCCTGAGTCTTGCTTGATCTGAGGTGAGATCCTCGCTCCTCCCTTGTAACGGTCGCCCTTACTGCACAACGAGACTTGCGCTTGCTAAGTAATTGATGCTACAAAAAAGGGGACTCGATGGGATCTAGTTGTCCTTTGCATAATCTTCCTTGAGATGTGGACACCAGAAGTTGAGAGTCGTTTGTAAATAATATAGATGAGTTGAGCTTCCAACCTGAGTAGCATGACCTGGGTTATCGAGCTTAACCTTGGGTATTTTGTGGTACCATCAGTACCCATTATGAATATAATGACCCATCTTATTCTCTCTTTTTAAAGAGGTTGAATTTTTTGGAAAGGATTCCTATTCGACAAAGAAGGACAACTTGGTGGGTTTTCTGGTTCTGGATTTTAGAGATTCGGTATATGTGACATATTATGAGATTCGGTGGGAGGATAGTGGTATGGGTAACAGGAGATTGGTTTTTCTTAGGGACACACAGAAATGACAATCTCTGCTATAGATAAACGGCTAGGCAAATGTTGGAGCCAGATAGGGCTTAAGCTTGGTGCTCATGAGGGATACCTTGGAGAGAGAAAAAAAACTCTCCCCCTAGAAAGAGAAAAGCACATTGTTACATGGTACATCCAATGTGACTTAGGTGTTTTTTCCTAAAATTAAAAAATTAAGCACTAGTGCTGAATTATGAGTGAAGATGATAATGAGTGGAATTTTCTTATCGGAAAAATGTTTGTTATGTACCTGAATTTCATCAATCCTCCATAGGTGATTTAAAGAACAAAGCAATTACTAAGCTAATTGGTTGAGGCCAAAAAAAACCAAGTAGATTAACACTCACTATCTTGAGGTAACTTGATAGTAATGAGGTGCTTAATTAGGAAAAACTTCAGCCAGATTGGCTTTATAGTTAATGAGGATGCTATCTCCAGGAAAAATCAAGGAGCAACAATAGGCAACCTGAAACAGGGATTACTATGGGGCTTTGATGGATGCTCCAAGCCAAGTCCAGATTGATGGTTCAAGTTGATGATACCTAAAATTATTTAAGGTTTAGTTTGATATTATCTAGCTCGGACGACTAAGCATGGACTACACAGCTTATGATCATTGGCACAAGGTGCATAGTTGGCAGCCTTCATCAACGAAACCCTTGTTAACAATAACATAGACAAGTGACACATTCTAGAAAGCCATGTAACATGTAAAAAGTATAATTTGTAACGGTCCAATATTCTGGAAAATGATTCGCAATCATTTCAACACTATCAACGCTAATTACGTNATAGACAAGTGACACATTCTAGAAAGCCATGTAACATGTAAAAAGTATAATTTGTAACGGCCCAATATTCTGGAAAATGATTCGCAATCATTTCAACACTATCAACGCTAATTACGTAAAGAGAGCATCAGTTACAAGAATGTGACAAGGATCACGCAAGACAATCACACAAGACATTTGAAAACTATAAATAGGGGTCAAATCCCTCACAATGTATTCAAGCAATTATCTGCATAATTATCATGTGTAATATTCTCCTATGATTAATAGAAAACCCTCATAGGAGCAAAAGACTCCACTAAAGAGAATTAGCTGAGCTTCCCAGTTAATGAACTACTATGAATCTTCTGACTATTGTTCCTCAAATTGCATTGCCTAAACACTAAGAGCCTAGAAGCTCTGACTAGACATTCTAGTGATTTGCAAACCTCTAGATAACATGCCTTTGATCAGTTGTGTAGAACATCATTATCAGTTGTCGCAATCTGTGGGAACGTTTGTTTCTTGTTAAAACTCTACTGATCCATTCAGTAATTGATGGTTTCTACACGTAACATGAGCAAAAATCAGATGAATCCCTTATGTTTGTAGAACTAGCAAGAAATCCTAGCTAAGGGAAAGCAAGGAATTCCTATGAATCCTCTACCTAACCCAGAAGTCAATCCACCGATGGCGGATCCTCCTGCAAACAACAAACTCGAGGCTTTTGTCAAGCCAACAATCGCCTCCTCCAACAAAATGAGGATTTACTAAATCTCATTCGTACCTAGTATCATCAAAGGGCACAACCAGCTTAGGATGATCCCCCATGGAGCGAATGTCATCATCAGAATCCCTTAAGGGAGATTACAGAAGAAAATGAGCACAGTCATTCGGTTGACAACATCTACCACCGAGCTTAGAGGAATGAAGAAGAAGAGGAGTTCTTAGACAAGAATTCTCCCCAGGCCCTCTCCAGTAAGATGGAGAAGAACAATTCTAGGAGCAATGTTTCAAAGAGATAAAACAAGAGCTCAGTTACATGAAGGAAGTAGTAAAGAGTAAAACCCCAATGACAATGGATGCTCTAGTTCAGCAAATAGAGTCTCTATTCAACCACGAGGTGCTACACTTCCTTTTTTCCCAAAAATTTAGAATGCCCCAAATAGAGACCTTTGATGGGACAAAGAATCCCATGGACCACCTAAACACCTACAAAACCCAGACGGCATGGATACCAGAATCTAGTGCGTTGCCG